AGAAAACAAAAAAGGAAAAAGAAAAAAATTAAAAAAAAACAAAAAATTTGAAAAATTTATGAGTTGGCAAACAATTGAAGCGTATTCAGCAAAAATGATAGTATACATGCTTGCGAATGTATTGCATATTTCAAGGCGTTCATAGTGGAACTTTAATTCTTCTTCTTCCTTTTATGCTCAAAAAAGCTTCTTCTACCATGTTCCATTTATGAACATGAAGGTGCGAAAAACAAAAAAACAAAAAACAAAAACGAATTATATATGAAAGGTAAATATTTGGAAAAAATTTCATTATTTATTTTTTTGTGTTTTTTTTTCATAATCATCTTTAAAACCATAAGAAAGGAATAGAGAGCACAAATATAAAAATGACCTTAAAATTGCCCGTAACAAATCATGAAGAGTTGAAATTATAACGATGTACAAGTAAAAGTTCAGTTGATATATTTAGTGGCAGTAGTGGCAGTAGTGCCAGTAGTAGAGCTTAACACCTTTAAGCACTGTGCCACTATCAGCACTTGTATAATGCATAAAAAGAAGGAACGCATACATGTGTAAATATCTTATATGCAATATATTTAGTTAAAGTGTTCCAATGTGTTTAGTTTGTCTGTTTCTACTTTTATACTTTTCTCTGCCCTGTATGCGGTTATAAATAACACATCTACCACACATAGGTTTCGAGTTTGTGGTAACTAGGGTACAGTACGCACACCATGTATGTACTTAACAAACGCAATACTTAACAAAACCAAAATGTACAAAAACATATGTAAAGGTAGACATATTATGCTGCATTTCGTACTTATTTATAATGATATATATATATATATATATATATATATCTATATATATGAAGGAGAGAAAGTACGAGAAGAGAAAGCTTATAACAGAAAATTGAAGAAAAAAAAAAAAAAAGAAATATAATGAATAACGAGAAGTAAAAACATCTGTACTAACAAATACCTAAGCGAACTAATGTCGATCATTATACTGCTTGTTGCATGACGTGCTATTCGTACTTCCGGTATTTCAGTTCATGTATTGTGTTATAATGTAATATATAAAATACTATTGAATCAAGTGCTCTTTCCTACATTTATATTAAACGATATGGACCCTGTGTATATATATGTATATATACAATGCAAATATTTTGTATATAAATATGCTTTATATGTTCATTTTATTTGGCCTATTGTGTTATCATATTCTTGGGTCTTTAGTGCCGGCAGAAAATCTACTTACTTCATTATTCACAGCATATTTAATGTGTTCTTAAAAGTCTGTATTTGCAATCGTATGCTTACCTGTAAAGATAACAAAATAAATAATTTATTAAAGGAAAAAAAGTTTTAATCTATAATATTAAATTTAATTAACTTTAGTAAAGTTTTCCCCCCTTAGATATATACGTATACATATATATGAATTTATGTCTATATCAGAAAATTTTTTCGATTAATAAGTTATGCATTTAGTTAGTTAGACAGCTGCAATTGATAAACAAATCAATCCACAATTCAATATCGATAAAACATTTAAGTACTTTTTTAACTCTCCAAGGCCTCTTAGAATAAAATTATTGCAAACACAACTTTGTGTTGCCGGTATATATATATATATATATATATATAGTATATATATATAT